AGATTTTGTGATTTACTTTTTACCTAATGACATCATGAGCACATTTTCCCTTGCTATTCAGTTATCCTTTAAAATACTTTAAAAAAAATTTTTTTTAGCTGGGTGCCAGTGGCTGGTGCCTATAATCCTAGCTACTCAGGAGGCTGAGATCTGAGAATTATAGTTCGAAGCTAACTCAGATAGGAAAATATGTGAGTCTCTTTTCTCTAATAAACTACTCAGAAAAAGCCAGAAGTGGAGCTCAAGTGGTAGAGCATTAGCCTTGAGCAAAAAGAAGCTCAGAGATAGCACCCAGCCCAGAGTTCAAGCCCCAGGACAGGCAAAAAAAAAAAAAAAATCTTTATTTTGAAGTTTCACCAAGAATAGTATATCAAGTTGATAAAGTAGGGAAAAGGGAGAAACATTTCCCACTTCATCCACAGGATATGGGAGCACAGGACCTCTATAACAGGCTTTACTGTCCATGTGATATGTTATCTTGTGAAATTCTGCTAAGCTAGGAATTTTAACTTGAGCACTGTTGGCATTCTGGGCTGTGGGGGCATGTCCTGTGCTCTGTAGGTTGTTCAGCATCATCATTTGAAAAAAAATTAATATTTCCTTAGTAGCAACATTGCTTGGATATTGCAAGTTTAACAGCTTTATTTGCATTCATAGAGAATGTAAGAGCATAGCTGTCAGCAGTCTCACAAAAGGCAGCCTGGGAGCTTTGACCACCTAGTTTGAGATGAATTCCATTATCTCCATGTTACTTTCTTAAAAAGTTTGGTCATTGAGGCAGCTATAATACCTGTGTTTCTAATGGAAACCAGAAGTTACTCTTTCAGCCTGCTTATATACTTTTCTTGATGTGTTTTGACACTTCAGAAGGATCTGTAAAGCCATCTTTCCCACCAGATACTCTTTTCATAAATAAAGTGATCTTTCCGTAGTAGAACTGAAGCATACAATTACTAATAGTTGCAGCTACCTTCTTAAGAAGGTACCCATCATTGTGTGTACTGGGGAGGGGCACTGCTTCAGCAAGTGAAAGCCACTGAGATCATTAGTCCTTGATTCACATTGAGCCTTACTTGAAGGCTCTTTTTTCCTCATCAGGGTTCTCTTCTACCCTTTCTAGAAAAGCTCAAGTTCAATATCCTGAATTTGGAGCTGACCTATTTTGTACATGTATATTTCATGATAACAGTATAGTTTCAGATAGTTGTGTTTACCCAGTAATAAATACGTTTCATCTATTCATGTTGTCTTTGTTGAGGAGACCCAGAAGCAGTGGTTAGATCTATTGCTTAAAATATTGTTAGTTATGTTTTTGAGTCTTACAGTATGTATTTTTATTGACTTATTTGATTATTTTTGTTTATCCATTAAACATACTTTTGTTTGTACATGGAATCATTTTTCAATTTTTTTTTCTGTTCTCCCTCTACCTTCTCTAATAAATGGTAACTGAAAAGAAACATTTTGCTGGAAGGCAGAGATCATGATTTGAGGCCAGCCTGAGGAAAATGTTAGCGAGACCCTGTCTTAGTCAACAAGCTTGCTGCTGTGTTTCAGAGCTGCAATCCCATCTATTATGGAGGATCTTGCTCCAAAGTCAGCCCAACCAAAAAGTTACTGAGACCCCCAGTAGCAGTGAATGTCTGAAATTCCTCCCCCAAGAAGCAGTAGGTGGAAGGATCTTGGTCTGAGTCCAATCCCAGGAAAATGCAAAACTACCTGAATAATATCTAAAGCAGAAATCAAGTTGGGGATGTGGCTCAAATGGTAGAGCACCGTATGAGGTTCTGAGTTCAAATCCCCAGGATGGATCCCCATTTCCATAAAAAGGAGAGGAAAAAAATTATTTTAATATATCAGAGGGCTTTCATGAAATGAATTACTTGTAATCAGAGGATTTTTAAAATGCAGTTCTCTAAATTTCAAATGCTTTATATTCCATTTTGATAACTATTTTCCCCCCTTTTTTTTGTCTATTAAATGTGTAAGATTGACTACTGATGTTGAGTGTTTCAGTTCTCTTGAAGGTAATTAGACTTTTAGAGATAATGTCCTAGAGGAAGCAAACCTTTATTTTATACCTTCAGACCCATGCTTGATTATTGATTTGCTTTTTATTAACACTTTTTTTTTGGGGGGTGGTTATACTATGGAAGCTCAAACTGCGTGAAAACTTTGTTTTAAAACCATGAAAATTTCTTTTGAGGATGTTAGTGTTTCCCGATTGTATGGGGCTTTCAGAACATTGGATATTTATTAAAAGGATTTGCCCCTGGTCAGATGTACTTGATGGCGCGAAAGCAAGCAAACCACTCATGTGATTAAAATGGCTGATGCTTTAGCCCAGGTGTTCTGGAAGAGGAAGCTGGCTGGGGAAAGGCCATCTCCGTGGAGAGGCAGTAAATTGTCCAGCAGTGGTCACCTCCAATGTGGGTCCCTCCACTGGCTCTGTGTGTTCTTGGCATGATAGCCTACCTTCTTCCTTCAGAACAGCCAGTACCCTTTTATTTTGTCAAAACCAAACACAACTGAATTTTAATTGAAAAATGGTATCCAGAAACAATTTCTGGATACACAGTAGCAAGCAGAAGCACATGTTAGAATTTTTCAGTTAGAGCCTCTAGAATTTATGGTGATATACTTTGAGTTAAAATTCAAGTCCTTGGGGCTAGGAAGGTGGCTCAGTGGTAGAGTGCTTGCCTTGTATGCATGAGGCCATGGGTTTGATTCCTTAGCACCGCATAAGTATTAAAAAGCCATGCTCTGTGGCTCAAGTGATAGAGTGCTAGCCTTGGGCTGAAAGGCTGAGGGAGTTCAGACCCTACGACCGACAAAAAAAAAAAAAAAAAAAACTCTTATTGGACTGCAACTTGTTTAGCAAAAATAATAATGTGTGAATGAAAGGTATAGGTGACATTTAAACAGGATGAGGAATGTAGAATCCATTGGTTAGATGCACACATGCACACACAAATTTTAAATGATCATATATTCTTGACAACAGACAAGTCCAAGTTTGCAACAGGACTTCCTCCTGGAAATTAACTCCTTAGGAACAAATAAACCAAGTTACAAACTACTAACCAGTTTTTCCACAAAAGCCATTAAATAATTTTCCCCCCATTAAATTCAAAGGAGTGGTCATGATATGACATTTATTTTCAGGTAATGTTCTAGAATTTTATGGGGTGTTTAAAGGATTTGTCTTTAATTAAAAGTGCTATACACTTAGTGAAAATCCATGTTCGTTGAGGAATTGATCTTTTTGAAAGGAAAGCTGCAAGGTTTCCTTGCGTGGGTAAATGTCACTCTGCTCATATCTTCGCTTAGCTGCAAGTCAGGACTTGTTCTGTTCCACCGGGTTGTCATAGTAACGCTGTTAGCTGTCATCTCAACTCAGACTGTTGATGGTTTTATTTGTAGGTTTGTAAGATTATTAAAATTTAACAAAAATTATTGATTTGCTTTTTATTAACACTGGGTTGTTTACCATGGAAGTTCAAACTGCATGAAGGTCTTCAGTTTAAATTTTTTTTAAATTAAAGTGAAACTATATTAAATCTCTGATTTTTTAAAATGTTGTTTTATTTAAAATGTGATATTGAGTCTGCAGCAGCAGAATAACCTCTGTGAATTGTATTTTGGAACCACTTTCTATTTCCTTTGTTTGTGTTATGGAGGAAAAAAAATTTCAAAAACTCACCTTTAGCCTGCTTTTAACTTAACATAAAAGAAAAGCGTGAAATAGTACATCAAGTGCCTAATATTGGAGTTTTCATTTTATTTATGGTTTTGAAACCTTGCACGAATGCTTCAGTGAACTGTGTTGTGAAAGTATTTATTTTTGTATATTTATGTGAGAGAAATTATTTTGCCTTTCACTTATAAATAAGACAGGCAAACCTTATTTCTGGTAACTTTATCTAATGGTCCGTGGATGAGTGCTTTTATGCAAAATAGTCAAGAGGCTAGAATTAACTTTTCACAATGGATGCACATTTGATGTCCAGACTTGAGCAACATGTGGCATCTTATTATAGAGCCTGTTGTTGGGGATTTAATTTGTATTTAACACATTGACTGCAGAATGCATACATCCTCTGTGCTACTTATGTTAATTTTGTGATGATTTCTACTTCTTCCTTGAAGATATATAAGTAAAAATGTTCTTTTTTTCAGGTTTCTTTAGACTTTGTTAATGAGTGATTCTTATTTTCCATTCAGAATAGGTTGGTTTGTGTATAACTTTCTTGGATCAATTGTCATATGTTTTTTTTTAATTGAAATGTAAAGCGTCTTTGCTTTTATTATTAGTTCTTAAACATCTTACTGTAAAGTTAATATAGATATACTACCTTTGATTGTAATACTATTACAAGGTAGCTAATAGCTTTTGTGTCTTAGGATTTAATTTATGACAGTATATGGAATAATGATTTTAAAAACTAGGTTTATTGTTTCTAATGTTTTATCACTGTGTATCTGGATCACCTGTTATTCATGTCCTTGTGTCCTTTTCTGCCACATGGAATCATGGCTGACCTGTAGCATTAATACATTAACCTAGAAATGAAGTGTGCAGTCTCAGGCTAGGTCAGGTTAAGCAAGGCTTTTGTTTTGTTCTCTCTGGGTTTACTCACAGTAGGGGAGGGGGTGGTCTTGTGTGTCTTGTTTTGAGGACACAATAAACAGATCTATGGAAAGGCCTACCAGCAAGGAACTGAAGCCTTCACCAACAGCCAGCACTATCTTAACCAGCCTTTTGATTGTACCATCTTCGAAGAAGATACGCTGACTTGAGTTAGGTCTTTCCATGATTGCATTTTCAACTAACACATTGCCTAACACTATGAGAGATTTTGAGAGAACTGCCTTTAACTACAGTTATTGATAATTGTTTGGGTTGAGGACCATCTCTTGTTGCTCTTTAAGAAGTGTGGTTGGTGAGTCTTTCAAAACAAATCACAGTGATAATCATTTTTCTGTGCTTTTTTATTTAGGAAGAAGAGAGTGAAGAAGAACCTAAGCTGAAGTATGAGAGGCTGTCCAATGGAGTGACTGAGATTCTTCAGAAAGATGCAGCTAGCTGTATGACAGTCCATGACAAGGCAAGTTGCCACTTTCCAAGCATTCTTGTTTCTACTTTGTACTTCAAGAGTTCCAGTGCTTTTGATTTTTGTGTGTATGTGTGTCTTGTTCTGTTATATTGTGAATAGTAATTATATTCCCCTGCTCCTCTCCCTCTCCTTCCAGTCCAACAAAAATGAAAGGCTGTCCCAAATATTTATGTCCATATACATACCCTAGTACATTCCACATAGAGCATTCTAAGGGCCTATCAAGTAGAATTTAGATAGTGATTGTTGTGAAAGATTAAATGGATTTGAGAACCCATCATTTAATTCCTTAAATTGTAAATATTACATTAGAGACAGGATGGGGTTCAGTGTTTTCATGAGGGTAGGAGAGCTTACATTGGTGGTCTTGGGAGCCACTAGGAATACACGTTAGCAATACATATTAAACAATGAGTATGTCCTATATCTTGGTCCTTGCTATAGCAGTGGCTTTCCTTTCTGAATCCAGGCTAGACTTGGCTAGCCTAGAACTGTCAGTGTTGTGGTCATAATAGTGGAAGCGCTGGAGTTTCAGCCATTGCTCTTTTTTTCCTTCTACAAAAGGCCAGTGGGATCTACCAGCTGCCTTGATGCTATGTTACCAGCAATGTTGCATCATTCTCTCTTTCCTCTTCAGAATAATTCATTTTTGCTTCAGATTTTTTTTTTCCCATTGTAATCAGAATCTTTCACTCAGTACTTTAGTAGAAGATCTGGCCTCTCTTATTTATCAGAAACCAATCCTGGAGGCTTCTGCCGTTTGACAGCAACACTGGTCGAGCCCTTCCCATTGTTTCCATCCCGGGACTTCCTGATACTTGCCCTTCACTCAATGAAGACTGGCCTTGCAGTTCTTCAACCTCATTTAATGTCAGTGATCTTCACCTCTTCCTTGTCTCAGCTCCCACTCTAAGGCCATCTGGATGATATCAGCTGCCAGATCTTAAGGATCTCCTTTCTATTTCCTTTGCCCTTTTGTCCTAGCTTTCCTGTTCACTGTTCCTTGTTCTGTAATGATGGAGTCCTGACTTTTAATCTGTTTTTTTTTCCTAGTCTCTGTGAACTACTGTACATCTCTGACTTTTCATTGTGCCTGTCAGAATTGACCAGTGGCTCAACTCTGAGCCACTGCTGTCATACATAACCAAGGGCAGCCATGCTGTGGTATGCTCAGGTAAATTTCTACTCCCAAATTACCCTTGCTTTCTTGTCCTTTGTCATTCCTTTAAGCCTCAATAACCCTTTTCAACTATTTCATGTTCTCTCTCTGAGACAGGGTCTAATTATGTAGCCCAAGTTGGCCTCAGATTCACCACCCGCTTGTCTCAGCCTGAGTGCTATGCTGGGGCTACAGGCATGTGCTCCATTCTCAGAGATGTCATTTCTCTTCAAGAATATTGGAACAACGAGGCAAGATTATTTTGTTACCCCTTTCACCACCGGCCTGGATCCACACCTATCCTTACCCACAGTTTACTTCTCTTTCAGGGATAAATTTGTCCATGTTTGTTTGAGCTTCATCTCATTTCCTCCCTTCTCTCCTAGAGATGCTTTCTGTGTATGGGACATATTAATACCAGGCATAGTTAACCACTAGTTTATTTTCTGTCTCTATAGACTTGCCAATTGGATATCTTAGGTAAATAAAGTTACATGGTATTTGGCCTCCTGTGCCAGGCTCCTTTTTCTTTTTTCCTCCTCTTCCTCCCTCCTCCCTCCTCTATCCTCCTCCCTCCTCCTCTCCCTCCTCCTCCTCTTTCTTCCTCTTCCCTTCTCTCTCCTCCCTCTTCCCTCTTCTTCCATTCTCCCTCTTTCCTCTTCCTTCCTCCTCTTTCCTCCTCTTTCCTCCTCCTCCTCCTCCTCTTCCTCCTCCTCCTCC